GGGGGGGGGGGGGGCAGCGGCTTATGGCGCGCAGGCGGGAGGCGCGGCGTTCGCCTGTTTACGACCACCAGGTTGTTTTCCAGCCGCGGCACGCGACCTGCAGAGCAAACTTTTTGCCCGGTTGCGTGCAGGCGGCGCGTGTACGCGGAGTTGTAGATGATGTGTGTTCTAACGTCTCTAAATTCGTCTACAAATCCACGACGCCCAAACGGACGAACTGATTGTTTTGGCCCAGCAACTGGGTAGAGAATAGATGGTATCGAAATGAATGATGTCTTGTTGTGATGGTGAATAACGAAATTATTTTTTGTGCACGTTTAGTAAGTGGAAACTCAACGTTTTGAAAAGAAGATTAAGACCAAGGAAATTGTAACTGTTGAACTACACGACGTGGAAAATAAATTATGAACATTTCAGGAAACGTACTTGTGTAGTAGATGAAGAAGGAAGTAAATTGAAGAGTGAATGTCTTGGATAACCTATTAATTCAAAAAAGTAAACACGTAAATTTGTTGTATTTTCTTTATTTGTTTATTCGTGATTACATTCGAAATACTTTTCTTCTTGTGACAATGTTTTCTGGACATTATTTCTCAAGATTTCCCATCTTTTAGGGTCTGAATAATCACATTCGGTTAAGATCTCCGGTTAACTAAAACCAAATAAGGTTTCTTCTAAATAAAGAAGGAGTTTTCGAATTACGATTCCACGGATAATGGAGAGTTTGTTATCCACTACTTCACAGTGGAATTTGCTTTGGTTTGATATATTGAAAATATATTGAGAGTGTTCATTTCTTGCAAACTACATAAAAAGGTTTTCTGTTTTGAAACATAATACAAAAAGGCTTCATAACAATAATGATTGGAAACTAAACAATATGCATTTTTATTCAAACTCGTGTTTGAACGGCTCATACGTATATACTCACAAGCATTATCAATCGCCATAACACAACGTTATTTAAACCGCAGTGCTTCATTGAACTAAACCGACGTGATGGGAAAAGAGTATGCATACGAATAATTCATGGTATTTCCTGTCTTCATAATTATTTTATCCGGGTCGCACACGGTTAGCTCGTCTTGTGCCAAAACACACTTTTTACAAAATACAAGTTTTAACCTCGGAATCTGGTTTGGCGTATAATGGTCGAGTTGCCAATCCGGGAATGAGTCTGCCAATTAAGCGGCAGTTCTCGTGCTTTCTTCATTCTCAGGTTACCTTATCTTCCAGATATACTACCCGATATTCTTTAGCAAGCCCGTGATATGATTTTCGATCGCAAACTTCTGAAGAACCTGAATTTTTGCCGAAGTTGGATAGGTTTCCTTAGAAGCATTCAATTTTTCATATATTGGTTTAAAAAAATGTATACATAATGTGCTATAATATGATGTTAATGTGCTATACTGAGATGTTTGTGCTTCAGAAACATTCTGCGGGTGGAAAGAGATAATATGCATGATCCGAGATAAGGTCGAATATAAAATTGTAAAATAGTTCTTGACTACTAATTCTTCTCCTTTTTGTTACATTCAACAAATGAAACACCACAATCGTGTTTTTTTCTGTTGACAATGATGCTATCAGCTGGGGAAAGCATGTTTCGGAAGACGAGAAAGTCGAACCAGAGCCGACCAAAGTGAACAATACAAGTGCGCTGGAACGGAAATCGTAAAACCCTGGAAGGGCCTCGTCGCAGTGCATTACCTTCGGGTGGCTGGTGGGTTCTCGTGGCCATTGACTCGTGGCGGCTTACGGCACCCGGCGCCTCCGAGTCACAGCTCGCTCCCCCTCCTCCCCTCCTCCCCCCCCCGGCCACGAGTCGGCGTCCGCCAGCGCCTCAGCTGGCCAGTGGCCTGAGAAAGTTTTATCCGCTCAGGGTGCCCTTCAGTTGGGCACTGTTACTAATAAATGCTAACCGTAGTCAAATAAAGTCAAATACACTATAAGAAAACAACAAAAAATAAATAAATAAGTAATACGCAAAATATTAGTCTGCCCGGAAAGAGCTCAAGATAGATAGAGATGGAAAGGACAGTCGCACAGAAAAAATACAGTATGTAGTTGACAGAATGGGAAAACGTGAGTGTCGACGGCAAATAGCGATTTTCTCCTGCCAGTGGCTCTGGCGGTTATACATATCTATTTAGTTTATGTGGCAAAAAAGGGGCGTGGTTTATAAAAATATTTATACAAAGTTAACCAATGGAAGAAGGCGGCGCTTTGACTCGCAACCTGACATTCACTAACATATTCTATTTTTTTCTGGGTAAGCTGGCATGTTCGTTGTCTTGCTGGTTCTTTTCACCCATTCACACACTCACGCATGCTCTTTTATATTTATATACAACATTATCTTAAGTACGATAAAAACGTTTTAGACTTAGGAAATTCTTTGATCGAAGATAGAACTTGACCAAGATCTCGGTGTGCTTCGGAAACGTGAATAGGAAGAAGATATCACCCACTGCTAATGCAGCGTTACTGACAGATTGGTGCTTAGTGTAGTTAAAGTATTTGTTCAGTTATATTCTCCGTAGCTCCACCACTCGGAGAGGGCTCTCTCTCTCTCTCTCTCCATCCCTCTCCGCTTCGTCGGTGCTCCGCCTCTGCCGCCGCTGCTGACGCCCTCCCTCCCGAGGATCGGGTGCGGCGCGGCGCCGGCTTTTGTCCCGTTCGCCATTGAGCGCCGCTGCCTCCGCCGCCGCCTTTGTCCCAGATGCCGCTTCGCTGCTCCCTCGGCCGCCGCCCGGCGCGCGCCGCCCAGGGCCGCCAACCCTCGCATCAACTCCCCGTTCAATTGCACTGGTTTGTTTTTCAGTTCGGAGAAAAATTTTAGATTCTTGCATGGCGATGTTTACAAGAATGTACATTTTATGTTAAAAAAGTTCTGTTAAAAGAGCATACACACAAGTGGGAATAATTAATATAAACTGTTATTAACAATATTTACAATAGGTTTATGTTTTTTAAATTGTTTCTTTGCTTATGTTATTTGTTCCATTGCGCCATTGACGCAGGCATTTGCGTTTAAGAGCCCGTACCTACTGCATCCGACTTTTTGCTGAACAGTACAGACAATTGCTGAGTAATGATTGTGAGAGATTAATGGAATTTAGGGAAACAGGAGGACAATTTTTGGACACAAACTATCAAACAAGAAAAATCGTTACCGAACTAGAGTTTCTTACTCATATTTAGTAAACAATGGAAATTGCGGACATCCGAAATGAGGCCGGGTCTATAAAATGGCCTTTTGATGTTTACTTACAAGAACAATAGCGTATTTTTGAAGTTGTTCTGTGTAAAATGAATTCAGTGTTACCTACCATCATTGCCCGATAGTTCTTCCTGGAGCTAAATAATGCACATATGCCTAGATGACTGTGCTGTCTGCGCAGTGAGGTGCGTTTATTCATTTGAAGTGTTAAGTTTGTCGACGAGTCAAGGGTTAAGTGTTTTTTCACAGGAGCGTGTTGTGATAGAAAATCTGTTCTGACCTATTACGCCGAGATCTTCAGCAAACAAAGGAGGGAAATTGATTTTGTATTGGCAGTGCGCAATCGAAATAATAAATCTGCTTCTGGAGGGCAAATTAGAAAAATTAAAATTCCGAACATTCACTTGTTAGGCAAGGTTCCATTAGAACTTCATTCATTAAAATAAAAAAAATCTTAATAATACTCTTCTCGAAAAATGTTCAGCATTTGGGAGAGTTTTCTTATAAATATCTTTTATAATTTTGTCTTGTATTTTGGATCTCGCATTGCCATGCACATTGGTCATGAACCAGTCAGTCTACAGTATATTATGCTGGGAATTAGAATAATGAAGTATACACACGTGACCTCTTGAACATGTTCTGCTTCAATTTGATCACTTTTGTTACTGCTAATATTTATGAAAATATAAAAAATATATGGATCTGTGTATTTCTCCATTTTGCTACTTTATTTTTACAAATTATTACTAAAGTATTTGGATATCACTTCTATATTCGTATTCAATTGTGTAAATTGTTAAAATATAATACATATGTGTAATTTTTAAAAAAAGTCATACTTACGGATAGTGCAATAAAATTTGTTAAAAATCAGAAATTTACGACTTATCACTAATTTTAGACAAACCAATTCGCTAAACATTCTTGACTCTTTACTTCGTTACGTTGTGACTGTCATCACAAAGATGTAATAGCGGAAGGCAGATTTCTACTCACTGGTTCGGGCTACAACCGAACGAGAAGTGCCGTTGAAAAACACGTGGACGCAAATTGCTGACGGTGAGCTGCAGACGGATTGGCATGCTTGTCCCTCCCAATTAGCAGCGTGACAACAAATAAACGCCCCGCTGGCAAACAAACAGGAAAGAGGACCGGCCTCGTCTCTGGCGAAGGGAGTGGCGCGGGGCGGGGCGGCGCG